CCTAGACAGATGCCTATTTCCTAACCCATTAAGCACGGGCCTGCTCACGAGGGCCCATCACTTCCATTTTTTATTTGATAAGATTAGAGGTTTGTTTCTTCTTTTTTATCTTTCTCAACAGAATCAGGAGACTCCATTGCCCTACACCAGAGAGAACAAGCTCTCTAATTTCTCTCACAAATCCTCTATGTATGATATCCTTCTCTTACACTTCTTTATTCTATGTATATACTAATCTTTTGATGATGATTTTCTCTACGTTCGTGGTAATGATGTTTTTCGTTTGGAATTTTGGCAATTATCTAATTTTAGTACTTAGTAATATAAACTTTTAATGAAAACATGAAAACATGAAAACTGTTAATTTTATCTGTTTATGAAATTTTCTAAAGTACCAAGTATCAACTACCAAGTAGATTGTTCTCATATATTTCTGATGCTGGAGTGGGGTTTAAGAAAAGATAACTTAATGATTACTAAGAATATTATATTTTTTCTTTAATAATTTCAAAGTATCCTATGAGATCTATAATTATGAGACTTGTAGGTTGCACAAAGACGTTACTACAGATGTGGAATGATTATTGTAAAACTATCTCTGAGCAAAATAGTATCCTCTATACAATGAGCTAATAGAATTTATACATGTAAAGGGTGTAAAAGACATACATACAACAAAATAAGAAAAGTTTCTCTGTTTCCTTTTCTTTTTTCACCATTGTTGTTCTCTTGTCTTCTGCATCATCAAGTCTTTGTGTGTGTGTTCATCAGATTGAAATCTCAACCGGACTGTCCAAAAGCAAGACAGGGATATGTTCTTCTTCGAATTCAGACAGAGAATTGATCAAAAGAAAGTTCTTGAAAACGAACCTTCATTGGCAAAGCATAATAGATAGAGCGATGCATAATATATAGAGCAATGTAACGAAGTTTTAGAAGAAAAAAAAAATTAAGTTATATAATATTTGAAAACAATTTATATTATTCTGCGAATTAAGGTTGTGTACAAACCCGCTCAATGAAGAACAGTGATACCATGGGAAACATGCCATTTATGATCCAATTCCACATGGATGGACAATCACACGACCGGAGCATACATTCTCTTATTTTTAAGATATGTGATGATAGAGACAATCGTGGTAAACAAACTATAGTAGTGATGTGTAGCTACCAATGTGGTGTAGATACCAATCATTTTTCCTAACTCTTGACCGGAGCATATGTTCATTTGATTTTAAGAACTTCTTAAATCCGACTGATCCAGTTAAGATATAGTTAATGTGTCTCTATGAATTATTGTGTCTCTATGAAACATTGTGTATGTACGAAGCATCATGTCTTTTCAATATTCTTGTTTGAAGAGATATGAACGAGAAAGGGAGTGATTCCTCATAGGGGTGGGTAATGACACCCGTATATTACGTTGAAGATAGCCGTAAAATGAGATAGTCGAACATAACAAAAGTATATAATACTGTACATTGATGATATATCTTGATTTGGTCGATGATGAAATCATAAACCCTGCTAAAACTCATGAACACAGAACAAAGATCTAAAGAAGGGTTAAATATTTTCTCCCCCTAGTTTGCAAAATGAATATAGATAAGTGAAGTATGTTCTAAAACCATATTCTTTAAGGAAAACACATATTCATCCTCTACTTGGAGAAATAATGGACCAAATTTATGATGATGCAGAAAAAGACAATTTCGACAACTCCATATGAACAAGTTAACTAAATTATGAAGAAAACAGACCAAGAGAAATAACAAGGGCATAAATAGAAAACTGGAAAACATAGAGAAAGCGGACCAACTCCATCAATCTAGAAATTGTAACAGAATAATCTTAATCGTAACTATAGACCACAAAGAATTTCATAATCTCAAAAGCCTAAATACCAATTACGTAAGCGAGAAATAACAAATTCTGAAGTTGAATAAATATGACGATAATGTAGTGGCGGCGAAACACAACAGTGAATAAATGCAGCGAGAACGAAGAGAGGGGTCAAACCCGGGTGTAGGTGGTTCATGCGAGACTCTCAAATTCCCATGAACAACGTTCTTTGTCATCAACAACACTTTTTAAATTATTTATCAAAAAATGGTAAGTCGTTGACATAAAACCTACAAATGAATACAATACAGTGCTTCCAACCATGGGAAAAAGGCTTCAATACCAAACTAATTGTTTTATTTTTGTCGTAAAAAAGATACAAAAGAAATAGATACCGAAAGAAATAAAATAGCAAGAGAGAGAGAGAGATCAAAGTATATACAGAAACCTGGTTGTGTTTTTCCTCTTCAATATATCTGCCGACGACTTCAGAAATCAACTTCGTCATACTCCACCACCGACACCAATCAACGTAGATGTGATCGCTCCTAAATTGTGAAACAGACATTCAATAGAGTTTGTGTTTGTGAACGATTTAGATTTCTTGCAATATATAAAAAACCAAAAAATACAATTTTTCATTACAATTATGAAAAATTACGACTGTTGATTAAAATCGATCAAGATAAACTCAACATACCTGTTCAAGATATGAGATCAATCGCACGATGTTTTGTTTTGGTTTTCCCTATTCAAAATGTGACATCATCAATTTCTAAATTCAATTAATCTAGACCCTCCAACAAATTAAAAGAAGTAACATCAACCGTTGGATCAACGTTTTTTTTTTCCTATAAAAGGGTAGTGACGTCATCTGTTAAAAAAAATGGGTTTCCTATTATATATAGATAATGTTTGTAGTTTTCCTCTCTTATGTTTACATTTGTTTATCAAAACACCCTTTTCTATTGGATTTTTTATTATAAGCATAAAGTTAAAAACGGTAGATATGATCACAAATCCTCTACGGAAATTATCTTTCAGTCATTCTCTCCTTCCGCGAGCTTCCATAGATGCCATCCCACGTAAGATTCTACGCATGCATGAATATATGATTAGAACAATACATATATACAATGATTAGAACATTAATTAATAATTATACAAGTAGGAAAGTACTATGAGAGTAAGTAGAGCTAGTAAACCGTGGGGAATTAGTATGGGCCAAAGGAAAGGACCATGAGGAGGGTTGGGGCCTCCGCATTCGATTTTGCAACGTTCGAAGCAATTACCATCGTTAGGATTACAAGGTTGAGAACATGTTCGAAAACAGTTAATCCAATCGTTCCTTTGTTTTGTTGCTTCTACAGTATAACAATCACCATCATCATTATCACTACTATCCCTCTCCATTTTGCCATCTTTTGGATCCTACAGATAAAATTACAAACTTTGTTTTACCTCTAGAAGATCTTTTGCCCTACCACTAGCACTTATATGATTTTGCAAGAACTCAGCCTCTATTTTTATAGTACATTCATATACATTTCGTTTCGCTTTGCGTACTTTTTAAACCAAATTTGTATTCAATCTGATTTTATTATATACTTTTTAAACCAAATATTACTATATTTTGATTGCATACCAAGTTTTTTTTTGTCAACAGATCAAATACAACATTTTTTTAAGGAAAATATTTTTCCAAGATTTTCCCCTTCACTTTGTTTTTTGTTTTTTCTTTTAATCATGATAGAGATTTAATAGTATTTTATTTCGTAATCTAGTAATGTATACGTTTACCAATTTTAATTTATTTTATTTGTAAATAATAGTGTGTGTGTGTGTGTAATCTATTTTATGTTGATCTTTCGGTGCTTGAAGATATCAGCGATGCATGATTTGGAATTCTGCTGCAAGTTGGCTAAAGAGAAATGTTTGATCATCCTACCACGTTTCTATTTACACTAGTTTTGTTAAACGAGAGATACGTGCGGTTAAAGTATTTATTCTCCACACCCAAAAGCAAGGATTTGTATTGAGCTTTCAATTGGTGCCCTAATAAAGCAAACTAGACATTTGCCTTGGGCTTGTAATAAAAGCTTAAACCTTTCGTCAAGTTATTTCAACGATTGTGATTTGTCTAATATTGTATGCAAAAGAACTTCTGAACTTGTAATATTTCTTGTCTCCACACCAAAACTAAACTAGATTTTGCCTTGGGCTTGTAATAAAAGTTTAAATGATGCAGCTAGATATTTGGAAATATGAAATATCTTTATTCAATATTTAGATAAAAAAATTTCAAAAAAAAAATATTTAGAGAATTTCTTTATATTGTTTTAGCGTTTTACGATTTATTATTATAATAAAAGTTTGTGATGTGTCTATGTTTGCAAATGAACTTGTTTAGTTTTGAGAAATTGATGGATATATATGTGTGGTTTAGAGAAAGTTGGTTGAAAGTGTGGTTTAAACATAAGAATTTTGAGCAATAATTCTTATGAAGAACAACAAATCTTATATGCATAAGAACATAAGAATTTTGGGATGTTTATGAAGAACAGCAAATCTTATGCATACAGGTGAAAAACAAAAAATGATAGAAAATGTGATCCATGTGCGCTTCCGGTCCATGACTTACTCACCTACCTACAGATGCTACAGTTGCGGTATGTGACTCACCTAGAGGTCCCAGACCTTGTGGACCGACTTTTACTTTTACATGATTTTGCTAAGTGAAATTTTGAACCTAGCTCACTAAATGTTCAAGGCCAC